AAAAAAAAAGTATTTTGCCTGGGGACTTGAATCCTTTTTTTCTCCCCTCCGCTTGACTGACTTTCTCACACTCCTATTCCCATAGTCTGCCAGCTAGGCCTGAGTCATCCTGCCAAGAACTAGACCTGGCCTATTCAAAAATGTGCTCACTCGCTCTTTCTCTGTCTCTCTCTTTTTTTTTTTCTTTTTTTTTTTTTTGAGTATACACAGTAATGTTTTTCCACCTCCTCTTGTACCTGATCTGCACCTGTACAGGGCCAATCCCACACGTATCACCCGATCTTGCCTTTTCAGAGACCGTGAGAAAAATAAAGTTCAAGAAAGAAGAGACATGTTTGCAGATCTCACCGGTGCAAAGCCTTCGTCCCTGCAGAGGCTTGCCTGCTGAGCCTTCAGAGTTTAAAAAAAGAAAAATAAATAAAAGGGAGAGTGTCATGTTTAAAACTGCAGAAAAGTACAAATCCAGGCTTTCTTTTAGCTCCTTGATGGAGCCACAAGCCCTTTGATTTGAAAAAAAAAAAAAGGGAAGGAAAAAAAAAAGCAGCCTTCAGCGTGCAAGGTTTAACTTCAGATGAAGGGTATTTGAGGTAAGTTTCAATTATCTAAGCAGCTGGACAAACTCGAGTGAGGAAAAGACCGAGACTGCACTGGGAAGTCAGTGCCTAAAAGCACTTTCACACTTATCTTGGTGGGGAAATCGGAGACATCACATTAGCCTGAAAACTGCAGTCTGTTTTTGGAGAGCTGAGAAACTCTCCGCTGGATCAATATTTCTTCTAGTGCTGATATTTGCATATATTGGTGGGGAGGAAAGTTATGGCAATTACTGAGCCGGTGTTCCCTCTCCCTCCTGCGGGGATTCGCAAAGGGCTGAGGAAACGCGGCGCTGGGCAGCCCGGTCCCTCCGGCCGGAGCGAGAACAGGCTGCAATTATGTCTGTGTTTGTGGTAGCCTAGGAGCTGCAAACCGCCCATAATTGCCGGCAACAGGTCGGTGTCTCTGTNCGGGGGGGGCGCAGGGTAGTTCATGGTGTTGATCTGGGTCATGCAGCTGGCCAGGTGGCCCAGGAGCCGGGTGCGCACCTCAGTGTTGACGCCCTCGCAGGTGGAGAGGAACCGCGTCACCTCGTTCATGCACTCACTGAAGCCAGCTCGGTACTTGCCCAGGACTGTGGGGTCTGTGCTCAGGGCAGCTGTGGGAGGAGAGAGGCACACAGCAGTCAGCAGGCTTCACAGGGAAGAGAGGTGTACAGCACACTAGCAAGCAGCCCCTCTGGCAGTATGTCTTGTGTTCCCAAGCACCAAGATTTCAGACAGAGAGCACAGTCCCTCTGCTACCAAGTCCACCAGCACCAAGGACCCAGTGGGGAATAGGTAAGTCCCAAGAATTTCCTTATGTCTCCCTATATCAGAGACCCAGGCAGGAAACACAGTACTTCCAGTGGCTCTTGTGCCTCTCACACCCCCAAAACAGATCCATGTGCAGAGCACAGCTCTGCTAGCAGAGGGAACTCAAGCTGGGACGGCAGCCCTCCATGTGCCCTCCAGCACCAGAAATGCACAAACAACACAGTGATCTTCTCCTTATTGGGGATACTAGCACAAAGCATGATACCCCTCACCGCCCCCAGTAGCACGGATGGAGCACTGTGTCCCCCATGAAAACAGGATTCAGGTGTGGAGCTGCTGACACCAGGAATACAGGTACAGAACACACCTCCCTCCCCTCCATCACTCCCCGGGGATACAGGTGCAGAGCCTGGTGCTCTGCTATCCTCCCCACCGAGCAGGCAGGCCGAGAGAGTGATGGTCCCAGCCCCCAGCCTGCTGGCAGCGCCACCCCAGCTCCCTCTCTCCGGTTCTCCCTCGGGACTCACCAGTCATCTGGGCTCGCTGGAGGCTCCGCAGGTGCTTGACGGTCATCTCCAGAATGTCGGCTTTCTCCAGCTTGGAATGCCGGGAGCTCTGCGGGAACAGGCGGGGTTCAGACCGGCCCGGCAGCGCCGTTTGCCCCCGCACCCCCCGCCCGGAACCCCTGCGCTTACATCCTTCTTCAGCGCGTCCAGGATGAGCGTCTTCAGCTGTCCTAGGCTCTCGTTGATGCGCGCCCGCCGCCGCTTCTCCATGATGGGCTTGGAGGACTGCAATAGAGGCGACAGTCAGCGTCCGGCACGGCTCCGCACGGCGCTGCCCGTTCCGTCCCATCCCATCCCGTCCCGGCCACCCTTACCTTGCGATGCTCAGCCGCCGTCTTCGGCTTGTCGGGCGTCGCATTGACGNCACACCGCTGGCAGCCCGCCACCGCGCCGGGGGTTCGCTCCTTTCTCACGACCTCTCAGGTTCCTGAGCTCATCTGGGAGCTATTCATTTCCTGCCAGAAAACAGCCTTGCCTGCTAAAAAAACCACCTTGGCCGCAGAGCGGCCCAGGGCTTGGTACGAGGGCTCTCCCGGCTTAAATCATAAAGCTCCGGCTGTCTGGCTGGAATCAAAGGCAGGGCGGGCGTGGGGGGGCGCGGGGGCCTGTGCCATATGGTAGCACTTAAGAGCCAAGGAGGAAGCAAGGAGGGGCTTTTGCACCGCTCACGAGGAGTGTGGGAAAAGTTAATTGACTTTAATGACAGGTTTCCCGGGACGGCAGCAGCAGCAGATGGAAGGGAGCTGCGGGGATGGAAGGGGCAGCCGGGACTGTAAGCTCCGCGGTGGGCGGGGGGCAAGGCAGGGTGCTGGGAAGGCAGGAAAAGCCCCCTGCACACAGACCCCCGTGCAGGTGCACTGCAGGCAGTGATTGGAGTGCTGCTCCTTCCAGCTCAGCACCCGCGGGTCTGCAAATGTACCCTAAAGGATTGTGGCAAAGCGCTGACCAACCCAAGAATGGTCATGAGAGAGAAAGACTGGCCTCCAGCACTTCCCAAGATCCTCTCCACCGGCAAACAGGGCTCAGCAAGGTGCCCAGGGAAGCCAACAGGAGCTGCATCCCATCTGGCAGCACTAAGTCCAGTCCCTTTTCCTACCTGTCCTGTACAGTCCCTGTGCAGGGTCATAGCTCAGCCCTGCACCTTCCCTGGCACTCCTCCCTTACTCTTTCCTGCTCATCACACAGCATCAGTTTAAAGGCATTTGCTGCACCTGAAGGAGAATTCCCACACACAATGATCCACAGACCCACAGCCTGCATTTGTCATCCCAATTTGTCACGGGCTCAGTGAACTGGCACCAAGAGCACGGCTCTTGGGAATTGCTCTGATCCCCTTAAAGCTCACAAACTCAAGCAGATCTCTCATGTCAACAGGCTGTGGGATAGAGTAAACACAGAAAGCTTTGGAGAAACCGGCCCAAGCATGCAGTATCTGCTTTATACTAGGCTATTTAAACTCCATTAGCAAATAGGTTCATCTTGTCTTTCACTCTGGGATCTGCTGTATGTTCTCCATTAGCCTACAGCAGAGGCTCTTTTTTCTAATGTGCTTTCCAAACCAACTGCTTCAGCAGAAGACTCTGCTCATATGGAACAGCATTCACTCTTATAGGTGATGCATGACTGGCCTACATCAGCTCTACACAAGCCATACAGCAACAGGAGTTGGTCTGATATAATAACTCTGAGACAGGTCCTGTGAGCACTTCTCTGAACACAAGGTGGGCTCACTCCTACCCTCAGTACCTGCAGTGCAGAAAGGTGACACTCTGGCTGGTGGAAGGGAAAGAAAGCTCAGCCACTGCCTATCCCAGGCACATACCAACCCTCTTTCCAGGATGTATTTTCAGATCAGGTGAATATGTTTCTTTACCAGGAGCAAAGCTGGGGAGTCAAACCCCAGCAGGTTTAATCCATCTGGTCTCACTCTCCCCAGCTTTCATTTCCCCAGCACCTGGATACAGTCAAGCACCTGGCTGATCCAGACAAAATCCAACAAGCTTTTGCAGCAGGATTTGGACAGAAACCCCAGTGGATCCTGGCACATCTTAAAGCTGTCCGCTCTGAGTTAGGACTTGTTAAGAAGGGCCATGCAAGCTGTAACCTGAGACTGCTGCTCGCCACTATCTATGGCTTGCATCTTGCCTGGAAACGGGGCATCCTCAAGTCACAGGGGTCAGCTGCAGCTCATGATTACAGAGCCCTTGCAGCCCCACATCACTCCCTCAACCACGTGTTTTCCATATAACAGCAGAGGAAATGCCCAACTCTATCAAAACCACATGCAAAGCATTAATCATCAAGCAGAGCTTGGCTGCTGCTCAGGGTCAGGAACAGCTCTATGCTTTTAAGTCCAGGTGGAGGTGGTGCCCAGCGCCTGCTGCAGCCCATCAGCCAGGAGACAGGAGCACTCGTGTCAGGCTTGTCCTGCGGAGAGCCACTGCTTTTGTAACTCGAGAAGCTGGCAGGCACCGCTCTCTCAATCAACTGACTGGAGTCACTTGCAATTTACACTACAGCCTGGGAAGCAGGCTCCTCCGGGTTCAGGGCAGGAGGCTCACCCGGGCAGCTCCATGTCTTGCTTTACCACACCAACTCCATCAGCCCGAGGTGCCAGAACAGAGCAGAGGTGAGTCCCACGGCACATTCACCAGCTCTGCAAATACAAGCTCCTTTTAACAAGTGTGATTACTGCTCCCAAAGAAGCAGTAATTACATCTGCCCCAGGGCAGGGAGAGGGGCCAGGTGATTTCACAAGACAGAGGGGACAGAGGGTCTGAGTGACAGCTCCAGCCTGGCGAACAGGACAAGGTAGCCCTGGAGCAGCAAGATCCACAGGCAGCCAGGAACTGGGGTCCCTCCTATGCACACATGCCAGAGCTCAAATTTTCTCCAAAGGCCTTCCAAAATGGAAGGGAAACTTTTATTTTAAGAGCATTCAAAAAAAACAAAAACAAAAAAACCCAACCAAAAAACAAACCCCCAATCTTTGGTGTCACATAAGGAAAGGGAGAAAAGGAAGAAAAAAAGATCTCGTGTAAAACACGAAACACTGTCAAGGGAGTGCTATGGTACAAAGGCACAATCCAATATGAACATATAATCTATGTACAGCCGTGCCAGCAGCACGGGGTGCATTGCCAAGTCCAGTCCGGTGCCCACCACCCTCACCAGGGTCTCCAGACCGAGTCGGCTGTGCCAGGT